AGTAGGCGGGTTCTGCAAAGCTCATATGCGCCCTGTTGATCTTTTCCAAGGTCCTACCCATCCTAAACTTGATCCAACCCTACATGGGGTTTCTTCAGATAACACCTAAATTTGTGACAGCCGAATAAACAGATACACCAAACTTGAGGTTTATGTATACATAGTAAATATTCTAGATCGTTTTTGAACCTGTCCTATGCACTTTTGTGGAAGCATCTTCTATTGAAAACACGCTAGATCCACCGTAGGAGGAGCTTCGCTAAGCGCACATTAAACTTGTTTACTCCTTCAGTTTTTTCTGGCCTCTAGGCTTCCGTGGAGTGTATTGTGAATTTATTTGAAAACTGTCCACTGTAAGGCGCTCCGCCCACCAAGAGTCGATCTCCTTCATTTTATTTCTCCATCATTGCTCAGCCTTGTTTAATTTCCACAGAATCGAAGCTGCTATGAAACCCGAGCTGGTAATTTTTGCCCTAGCATCTTCCACTTCGGTGTATATCCAGCCCGGTGTGCGAAATTTCGCTGAGTGCACCTGTGCGCTGTAGATCTTCCTCAGCCCATCACAAACTTGACCTGACATCTAGAATGCCTCAGCTGAGATCGTGCCGTCACACGGTCCGCTGATTGCATTCCAATTTATATGAGCTCTTAAACTTTCGACATTATTCTACCGTTTCTGGATATCGAGCCCATTTAGACAACTTGATGCAAAGCTTGACATTTCAGGTGAAAGCTGGACGACCGCTGGTGTTGTTGTTAGCCGTGAAGTTCGAAAAAGCGCTAATGGAAAGGATTACCTAATATGGAAGCTCCACGACCTCAAGGTTAAATTGAAGATAGGCTGAAAGTTAACAATTTTAGTGAAGAGAAAGTGATCATCAGTAAAACAACAATTTAAGGATTGTCAACAACCTCCCGTTATGTTGCTACTTTTCGGTGAAGCATACAAAGAATATTGGAAGTTACAAGTTGGTATATGCGTTGCCCTTATGACACCAATGATCGCTGACCAAGACAAAAATCCGGCTCCCAGTTCAGAAAAATTCAAACCAAGAAGTCGGTCTCGGTTGCCACATTTTATCATGTTTTAGTTCGTTTATTAGAAATTTTTCAGCATCACGCCTTGTTCTCAAAGTGTTCAAGCCTGTGCAAGTGGTAGAGCTCGGGTACTCAAGTGATTTGGGTATGTGCAAGGTCAGATGTTTCTTCAGAAAATTTGCAATAATCATTTTTCTACTGGTTGGGCCACACATGCTAAGGCGACAATTATTTAAACTGACAGCCTCCAGAATTGTCTCTGTAGATATCCAACTTCTTATCCTTTTTTCATTCGTTGTTTTCCCAGAAGCTGGATTGCTGTGGGTGCGTAACATCGGCCACTTCAGAGAAATGCTAGTAAGGACACTTCCTCCTTCTCCTCCGCCTTCCTAGCGTTAATCCCGCAGGGTTCCTGCTTTTGTTAGCCGTCTCCTTTTCTTTCATTCTACAGCTTCATTTGCCTTGACCTTGGTTTCGAAGAAGTCCTTCTTGATCGCCCCTCAATCCGTATTCGGGGCTAGGCGGGGTCGCTTTCTTTCTGCCCCGCATTAGATTGTTCCCTTATCGGATAATTCTGTGGCTTCCGCAGTACGTGTCCGTTGGCATCGCATAAGCTGCTCTCTCGTAATCAAGTGGACAGCGCTTTTTTCGTCGTAGCCTTCGTTTCTGATCCGGCCAACCGCAAGCGCATCTGAGGATCCTCATTCCAAGAGTAGTCTCCTTTCGTGATTTTTCAATAGTTATTCGTGTTTATTTGGGCCTTTACCGCCGTCCTGAGCTCACAGCCAAGTAGCTTCCGAGACACGGGAAATCTTGCGCCCTCTCGATGTTGTTGGCTTCTTCAAGATGGTCTACAATTGGCTTCGCAGTCCTCCGAGCGGAGGAACGTGGTGTTCTTCTTATTCAGCTAGCCCAATTCTCTGCCAACACTTTCTGCCATTTCTGCAGTTTGTCTTGAAGTTCTTTGCGACTGTCCTCCAATAGAGCGATTTCACATCAACGTGGAGGATGGCCCAAGTGCCTTTTGTGATGAAATCCGATTAAAAGGCACGATTCACGATGAAGATGACTTATGAGACATCACCTTAGGATAAATTTGTGGCCCCTCGTACACCATATGTGGCGCTGGTCGGAAATTGGCTTAGATAGGGCGTTATGAAGGTTCAAAAATTGTCCCGTGTGTATTCTTGGATGAGTTTCACCGGCCTTCTACAAACTCCTTCAATCATCAGAGAACTCATGTAGGAAGTTCCAACAACTTGTCATGACCCATGACGACATCGGAGGGCAGTTCTGTACAGTTATGGTTTGATGTAGTTGCTCCTTGCGCAATTGCAACAACTGAAACCTCGTCTGACTACCCCTTCCATGTTATTTCCGTCATGGTAATCTCATCCAACCTTTATTATCACTACTTTTGTGAAGCCTTATTTTTCTCGAAATTGGCGAATATTCTTGCTTATTCAGGGTGTTAAACTGGATGGACAGAAGTGCAGTAACTTTGTTAATGTTTCCCTTTCGGATTACTGTGTACACCATGTTATGAAGGAAGCTCGAAAGCTTTCCGCCAATCGAGGTAAAGTGCTTTTTTAGCTTTTTGAAGTTACCACTCCAAAGCAATGACCTAGTAGGGAAGAGGCTAAACTTCTCGTGGAACTTTGATGAAGCCGTGGAATATCGATAGATTTATTGATGCTGTTCATGAATGTAGCAGTGAAAACTGCTGACTGAGTTTCCCAAAGAAAATCGTGAGCTCTCAAAATTTGTCGCAAATAGTTTCAGTTGGGCGGAGCTTCTTCTTAACTTCTTCTTCGAAGTTTAATTTATCCATCCACCAAGTTAGAGGGGTGACTGCATTCAGTTTCGATTTTTTCCAATTCATTTTTCACCGGTAGGTTCACCCGCTCTTATCTATGGAATTTAGGGTACGCAGATCCCACACTACAACGAAGGCTCCATTGTTGCAAAGTTAGTGCACTCCCCTATCAGTCGAAAGTTGCACGCCTCGCCGTAAGCATGCTTTTTGCGCGGCATGCTTATATTGATGGCAACTTTTATAACCTTTTCTGATATTAATTCAAGTGAGCGCTTCATTTAAGCTATAGACGTTTATGCGCTCAACGCACTTAAGACAGGCACCTACTATGAATGCGCCCAGTGCGATAGGCGTAGACGATTATTTGAAGGCGCTTACTTTGACAAAAACCATAAAATGTTATGAAAGAATGTTTAAAAAGAAGCACGCTAGGCTAAACCCTTGACGACTGAGGGAGCAAATTTGCAACATTCCCCTGACAAGGGAAAAGATTACTGCTGCGCCACAGAGGCGCTTTCAAAGAAGACATTATCCCGAACTTCGGTATACCTACGTCTTCTTTCAAAGAACATGGAATTCGAAATCCTTCCCTGTTAGTCAAAAAAAACGCACTAACTCACATACAACATGTTGTAAAAGTATCGATTACGGTTTTCTTATTATCTTTGCCAAATTTCCATTTTTGTCACTTTTTCTTAAATCATTGAATCAGTCCTAAGTGAAGCTATGTACTGCCTTGTTCCAGAAATTCTTCTATTTTTATAATTTAGAGTTTGATAGCACTTATATGCCTCTTCGATGAAATATACTGTTTGAAATGTATTCTTTTTCTAAAAGGGCCCAGGCTCATCGATGCAGACGTTTTTGCCGTGCTTCTACTGCTTAATGCATCGTTCATTGGAATACTTCGAAAATTAAAGATTTAGAAGAGACGATCGCAATTAGCTTCTTCACTGTTATAGAATAGATTCAAAGCCTGCAAAAGCTCTTTGAAGCAATTCCTGGGCAAAATTGAGCTAATGTTTGAATGATCACCAAGTGCTACGGTCAACAAATAAAATCGCAAATGATTTCAAGAAAATGGCCAAGCTGGACCATGGAGGACAAGTGAGCTGCAGTCGCGGATGGAAGGAAGAAGTGCCCAGATCCCTCTCAACTTTTTATTTCAGAACGCGATTATTGTCAATGTGTAACTCTATTATTAGCCTCACTGGCGTTGTTTTCCCGTAACAATGCATGACAGCATTCCAACTATCGTGGAAAACAGTCTATTTACTATTTCCAAAATTATAGTAGCTTTTCCGTTTACGGTCATATGCCATCTACTACAAGCATGCGCAATGTGCAGTTTCTCTCATAACACCTTTCCCTAATAGTTGCGTCTGTGGGTCTGTGGGTTGCTGGTGTTAGCCAGAAAGTATTAGGAACATTTATTAGTTGAACCAACTAAGACGAACTGATGTGAGAGAACTGGACTATTTAAGGGGGTGTATGTATTGTTTTAACACCGCGAAAGTCGTATCAGCATCCATGATCTCGGTAATTCATAGTTACCTAATACCAATGTGTCCTTATTGTAGCAGAAATTTTTCTGCATTTATTTTGAACATAGTTGTACAAAAAGATGTATTTCTCCATTTAAGGATCATTCAATAGTGTTACATCGCATCCACCGCCTCAAAATCCTAATAGAAGATTGTGCTCCACCCTGACCAGGTATTCTGCCTTCATTCATTTAACCTCATTAAAGATGGCAAAGTAATGTCAATAAGCTATATTAATAACTCATTAAACAATGCGATGTTCAGAGCCGGCCCATCGAGAGGGATCGGATCACTCGATTCATCAATCTCGTTAGGTATTATTCGACCAACTCAGACCAATGTGATTAAATCGTCCGAGCTCAAGACAACCACGAAATCCGAAGAGAAGGAAACTCTTAAGAAGATAATGAATGGACAGGTGAGTTTAGGTGTTGATTACCCCCTTTTATTTGTTTAATTTGTCTGATGCCAAGCGATCATCTCATTTGAATCGCATTTTCATATCAGAGTCAC